ACAGCCATCTGTGTGGCTGTAGAAACCTCTCCAAGGACATTATGTTTAACCACTTTAATGTGGTTAAACCTTTGACCACAAAGGCATGTGTCAATGCCTTTGAATTTTTCAACAGTGGAGACCAGTGGATAGTCTTAGGAGGAGATGACCATTTGTTTCTGCAGTGACTCAAGGAACAACTTATTTGCTACAAAATCAAGCCTATACAGCTGAGGGAGAGCATCATTTTACATTATTTACATGGCTTTTGATAGTGAGAATACTGAAGTATTTTCTGGGGGAAATTATGAGCAAGCAATCTTCCATTATATTGAGACCTTGGTTGGTGTCTGCTCATGATGAGAGGTATAAGAATTGTTAGTGAGCCCAGTGCACAACAAAATTTTGCCAGCTCTTCAGATGATGGCTAGGTCCTTATCTGAGACAAATAGAAGTCTCCCAATGGAGAGCCTTTCTGCCTGGCAAACGACCCATGTTTTTCAGTGTCATGTTTAACCTTGTGGTGTTCAGCTTATTGGCCACAGTCAATTCGAAGGAGTGGGCTCTAGAATATTAAAAAAAATTCTCAGTTATCTCCTGTACTACTGCGGCAATCTTCCCTCCAAAGTGGCATAAATGTGTAATTCAATGGCAAGAGGAGCCAGCTCCTGTTCCTGAAGCATCACCTGCCTGTTATGCTATATAACATCTACTCCCACCTGTCTGTGTTCCAATTTGACAATCAGGATTACTTAAATTCTTGCATCCTGAAGCATCACCTGCCTGTTATGCTCTATAACATCTACTCCCACCTGTCTGTGTTCCAATTTGACAATCAGGATTACTTCAATTCTTGCATCATGTGAAGCTGCTCTTTTGCAGATCATTTCTTTTCAGGCACTGATGACTACAAACTGTACAATTCACCCTACAGGAGAATTCTTGTAGATCCAGAAGTGGTTTTGGAGGTTGGAAGTCCACGATCAAGGTGTCAGGTCTCTCCTGAGACCTCTTCCCTAGGTTTATAGATGACCATCTTCTCACTGAATTCTCACATGATCGTTTCTCTGTACACATACATCTTTTGTATCCACTGATCTTCTTATGAAGACACCAGTCTCATTGGATTAGAGTCCTGCCCTTATGATTTCATTTAACCTGAATTATCACCTTAAAATCCCTACCTAAAAATATAGTCACATTGGTGGTTAGGGCTTCAATATATGAATTCAGGGTTGTCACAATTCAGTTCATAACTGTGTCTATGGTTCTTTTATACTCAATATCCAGCATGCAGTAAAAAATTATGAGGCATGAAAATATGGCCAGTAATAAAGAGGGAAAACAATAATTAGAAGCTAACCCACAATATTATTCAGATATGAAAGTTATGAGAAAGGAACTTGATAAAGCAAGTAGAAGAAAAGATAAACAAAATGGATGAAAAGATGAGGAATTGCAGTAGAAAATTAAAATGTACTTAGAAAAAAATTCAGGAGACATTCTCAAACTGAAAAGTGTCTAAAACTAAATATTTAATGGATGAGTAGAAGAAGATACACTTAGTAGACAGAAGAAACAGTAAATAGAAGACCTTTCAATAAAATATATGCAAACTGAAATATGAGATAAGAGACTGAAAGAACAGGTAACATAAGATATAGAAGAGTAATATGGATTATTTAATATTAAAAAAAATTCCAGGAGTTTTGTACAAATATTGGGAATACAGTAATAATGAGTAACTACAGAACCGCATATTAGAAAACGAAAGAAAAAAAAAAAGGCCAGAAAAGGGCCTCCCTAGTGGCCTAGGGGTTAAGTCTTAGTGCTATCACCACTACAGCCTGAGTTCAATGCCCGGCCAGGGAGCTAACTCACATATGGCACAGCAGACCTCTCCTGTCTCGCCCACTGTTCCCCTTAGCAGTGTATTTCAGTTCTGCTCCTCACACTGTCTCTAGTAAATCCCCTCATACCCTATCCCCTTCCCCCTGTATCTCTGGCCTACACCCCAGTTCTTCTGTGTGCGCACGCACGCACGCACACACACATACCAGAAAATGGAAGTTTAACACTGCTAACTTTGTTAAGAAAAAAATCTACTAAATCTGTACTAAGAGTAGAAGGATCAGAGGGTTAACTTTAGATTTTGCTGCTCAGTTCTTAATTTGTGTGTTTCTCAACCCAGTGAATTTCAAAGCATTGCAATAGTTGCCTTTTGTTTTGAGGTGCTAGAGCAAGAAATATGGAGGCATTCCTCCAAGGTCACCTTGAATAATATAATAAGAATATATGCCACAGTTTTTATTAGTGGGTGTCAAGTTCTGAGTGACAAACATTTGTTTTTAAAATGTGTGTATATGTTTTTATTATGTAGGGGTACTCTAATATGTGGGGATCAAGACAAAGGCCCCTATAGCCCAGTATAATTGTAGTACTAGTTCTATCTTTTTTACAGAGTGCCAGTTAAATATGTTTTAATAGGAACTATTTCATCCATTTATGTCACCTACATACTATGGAAGTTGACCAGCAGAGACCAAACCTACCTGGCCAAGAGCAGAAGCCAAGTGCCTCAGAGCCCACTAACATGGCTGGTTTTTATTACAAACAGAGAAAATGGCTGCTTAACTCCACCCTTAGGTCCTCCCAACTTCTCTTAGGGGATCATGGGATTTGTAGTTCCCAGTGTCTTGATGGAGTCGGGGTGGCATCCACAAAGCCTGTATGGAATTCGCTCAGGACATCCTTTCTCCCTAACACTTCCAGGGATGATGGGCCACCTCCTGGTATGAGACCTCCCATAGGTGCCCCAGCAGGAATACCTCCTGGACCAGGACCTCCAATAAGCATGTACCCTCAGGGGGTAAGGCTCCCTCCCCCAGGGATGCGAGCCCTTCTTCGATCTTTGACCAGAGTAGGAAGTAGCTCCACAGAAGCATGGGTCCCATTCCCCACATTGTAACAGACCTGTTTGTTAACACCATTTTCCGCCTTGTTTCACCAAGTTGTATAGTATCCCTAACATGGCTCCCTCCCCCAAAAGTACACACAAGGGCCCTAGACTCATCTTGGCCCTTGTTAGCTACCTGCTTGTTACCCATAAGGCTGTACATTGTCTTTTTATTTCCTTGTGGCCTGCGAAACTAGTTTATCCTAAACTCGCAAGAGAAAAAAAAGTACATTAACATTGTCTAGTTGGAGTCTTAGAAAGGCAAACCTAGAATATAAAGAAATATACTATTGGTGAGTTAATGCTGCATTACCTCTCCCTTTGCCATTAGCCAGATAAGTGAAAGTAGAGTATTATTAAAATTATTTTTACTTGCTTCGAGAAGGCATATAAAGAGAACCCTAATGGTTTGTACTATTCCAATCCCATTTCTTTTATTCCAATAGAGTGGGACTTAAAATGCCAATATTAATATTTATAATTTACCAATCATCTATTTTATAATTGAGTACCTGTGCACTAAGTAAATTATAACACCTTATAATTTGTAATAATGAGCTGCTCTGTAACTTATTGAGAACCTATATACTATGTTCTGTGCTGAGTACTTTATAAAGTTGATCAACTAAGCAACTGCAAATTTACTTGTCTTATTTCCTTAATGAAAGCCTTTTAAGGCATTCCTTATTTGCTTTCACAATAAAGTCCAGTGCTCAGGCATGAAATTTATTAAATTGTTATTGTCTCATGTAAATTGTCTCCTGTTAGAGATTAGCTTTTGTAGGAGGGCATGACTGACTCTCCAAGTCTGTTTCAGTTGTTCCTCTGAAAGCCTCCTGATGTTTCAACAAGCAAAAAAATCCCAAGATGCTATTTTTTTTTTAAAAGATTTATTTATTTATTTATACAAGCCCCGGGTACAGTCAGAAGTGCGGGAGGGTGAGAGAATTCACCAGAGACAGAGCAGGGAACAGAACTGGCAGACTGAGGATACAATGCTGAGGGAAGCAGAAGGCAGCAGGGGAGATCTGCGCGCCATGTGGTGCCCTCGCTCTGCGAGCCGGGGATAGAACTGGCGCTGCACAGGCTGCGGGCAGCTTCGCAACCCAGCGCTCAACCGCTGCGCCACCGGTGAGGAAGGCCCCCAAGATACTTTTTGAAAAAGTATTAATCAGCCTCCCTGGTGGCACAAGGGGGTTAAGCACCACACTATGAAGCAATCTGTAGCCTCTGCAACATGCGTTTGAGCCCCGGCCAGCCAGGGGGCTACCCACACGGCAAAGCAGACCTCTCCTGACTCTCCTGCTGCTCCCCTCAGATTTCAGTCAGTCTGTCTGTTCTGTTCCCCACTCTGTCTCTGGTGAATCCTCTCACCCCCCACATCTCTGGCCTGTACCCCAGCTCTTGTATGCATAAATAAATAAATCTTTTTTCCAAAAAAGGAAAAAGTATTAATCACCATGTGCTAATTTCTCATCACCTACAAAAATTACCTGTGTACTTTTCCGTCTCCTACACAAGAGCTTTCTCGAGGACAGACACCTAACAGCCTCGAACACAGTTGTGGCTTAACAAATCCCAACTGACTAGTCTCATTTAAGGAATGACACTCGAAAAGCAGTAACTAAACCATACAACCCATGTGCCAGGCGCCTCCAGCTTTGCAAAATCCATTCCCATTCCTTCCTTACGTATTTCTCCCAACCAGAAGGCACAACGGCCACTGCGACCATTTTAGAGACGACAAGACTGAGGCTGGAGCCCACCCGGGGAACACCCGCCTGTGCGCCTCTTGCTGGACGCCCCCCCGTTCTCAGCCCCAGGCACGTGGCCTCCCCTAAAGGTTGGGTCCCAGCACCCACTTGCATAAACGGGGGGTGCAACTTCCACTGCAAGGGGCTGACTGCAAGTGCTTGCCTGGGCACAGCCTGAGGAAACCATGATGTGTTTTCGTGACCAACAAACAGGGTTTCAGGCATACTCCGCAAAATTTTAAACATAAATGCCGAACAAAGCCAACAGTCTCTTGTAAAAAATTTCTGTCAGCACTTTAACTCTCACCTACCCACTTCCTTCCGTTTTCCTGCCTCACAGAGGGCGCTCACCAAGTGTTACTCACTGGTGAGGAAGCGCCACTCACTGCCTCACGCTGCAACCGCGCGCACAGCGCCACCACCGCGGCCGGTCTTTTCCGCTCCACGGCAGGGGGCGTGGCTAATAGGCCTCATTCAAATAAAAAACCAGGAGATTTGCATGGGGAACGACCAGCGCGTGAGTCTATTGGCTGCAGGCACAGCGGGCGTGGTCAAAGTTACGACCGCGGAGCCCCGCCCACAATAATTTGCATAACGGCCCCGGCGCGTGCAAGGGAGAAGCGGGTTTGTTTTTGAATCTGCGGAGGCGGCGGCGGCAGCGGGCGGCGCGGCGACTCCAGCGCGTGAGACTGAGGCGGCAGTGTTGGGGACGGCTGCGGGGAGCGGCTCCGTAGGCGGGAACGTGGTTCCTCCTCCCACCTCTCCCGCCCCAGAAGGTATTTGGAAACCCCAGGGGCTGTTAGAACGTTATTTTTTTGAAATTACTATTGTATTTCTGAAGAGTCAAGACCGCATTATGGCGTCTGCGGGAGCTGTGTTTGCGCCTGCGCGGTTGCGGCGCTGCGGGCGGCGCTGCATGGGAGCACGTGACCTGGCGGGGTCGGGCTCTAGCTGCAGTGGTGCAGCTGGCGGGGCGGCGGCTGCGCACGCGCAATATTCATTTTCAAGCTCGAACGTTCTTGTTGGACGCCATTTGGGTTCTAGATTTAATTTTCCTTCTTCTGCAGGGGTTGCGTTTTGTTCCTCTCAGAGTGTCATGTTTTTCAGGGAAAACGTTTCCTTTATGGCCTGCTTGTGGACAGGCGCTTTTCTTGAGTGTCTCTGTGAAGCTGGGAACTGAATTTTGTTGGAAAATGATTGCCATGTGTGGTTCTGGATTTTAATTTCACTCCGAGGGTGTAGTTGAATGCAAGTTTCTATTTATGGAGATAAAGATCAGCACCTAGTGGTGTTCTCAGGGCAAGTGCGTTTATTATTTGAAGTGCATGTTTGTAAATAGCGATTTTTTTTTTTTTTCCCCCCAAAGCAGTTCTGTTCTCATGGATGTGTGCAATGTTTACAAAGTAGAAACAGTGTTAGTTTGGGGACTAGGAAACAAGGGTGCATTGAAAGAACTTAAGAGATTTTATGAGAATTCTCAATTAGCTTGGGCTTTTATTTTTCTAAACTAGTTGTTCCTAAGCTAATGATATTTTAATTTTTAATCAGTCTGTGTGCCTCTGATCATGCATGCATTTGAGTTTTATATTTTTTCAGTCTCTGATCACTTGTCTATGCTTTAGTTAGGTAATTTGTGTTATTCAGACTTTTCAAATTTAGTCATTTTCTTAGCATTTTATTTATTACAGCCTGTAAACTATAACACTTACTTGGTAAAATTTTCAAATAAGTCTGCAAAATACTCCCCAAGTTCAGTTAGGCCTTTATGTGGAAATCCAGTGAACCATCAAAAAAAAAAAAAAAATAGTTGATCTTTAAAAATAAAACTACCTCGTGTATATGTGTATAAGGTATAATTGTTGTTTGGATTTTTTAATTGTAAATGTGTCCCAGGTTTTAACTTCTTAAAGAAGTTAGTTGTAAGTATACTAATTATTTTAAAATGACATTGTCACTATATTTAAATCTTACATTACTCCTTGCAAATTTTATAGGATTGGAATCAATTCTCCCATTGTGCAAATTATTTCTTAACGAGTTAAAAACTTTCAAATGGTTTTCATAAACTTCACTTGTAATTTGTGTTTTTGCAACAGTTGGTTTTTTGGGTTGGTTATATAACTTAAGTTTAAAAAATGTCACCTGTCAAATGAGAAGTGGCTATTGCTCTATAATCTTGTTTGGTTTATGTACTTTTTTTATTGCCCAAAACAAGTGTCTTTAGTACGTTAGTAGATGAAATTGAAAGAAATACTTCTAGTTGGTGGATTTTTAAATGTGACATTACATACACATTGGAGTGATTGAAAAAAATCGTATATTCAAATCATCACTGCTTTTTTCTCAACAGAATCTTAATTTGTTAATTGATACAATTCCTGACCCTCCCACGCATTTGACACAAAAATATATTTAGAGGACAGTTGTGTAATCACTTCTCTTTCAAGCTTCTGGGGTTACCCAGCACACACACCCCCACCTCTAAAACATTATTTCATGTGTCTTGGAGCTGTAAATATGTTGTATTTCCTATATCTTTGTGTATGTTTGTGTGTTATGTGTATAAACAGACCAAGCTAGGTAAAGGAAAGAACTTTGATCTTAAGGCATGGTACGCTGCACTTCCACAAAAGTGAAATATTTTGGTTTCTACGTTTAAGCTTATATATTTTATTTGAATATTCAAACCATTGCTTCTTAGGTTGATGTTGAAGATTGAAGGACATAGTGCACACTATTAGTATTCATTGGTAGAAGAATTTTGCTTTCATGCTTTTGAGAAAGGCAAATATAGTTTTAAAATTTTTTAATGAAAATTAATGAATTTTCTGAACATTAAGTGTTCATTAGTACCCTGTCAGTAACAAGTCTGTTTTGAAATTTTTTTTGGTAGTTATGCCGCCAATCATATATACAGCATATTATGTAAAATATAATTATTAAGACTAGGTTATTCCAGTTGTGAATAAGTTATTGGGGTCATTTAAAATCGTTTTAGCCTTGTGCATTTTCAACATCATAAAATTCAGTTTGGGGGAAAATGGGGTTTAAATGAGAAAGATCTAAGATTTTTTTTTTAAACTGTGATTTGAATATATGAGATATATTTTTATGTATGTTTACTTATAGCATTACTTACACTTTACATTTGGAAATATTAAAAATTGACATTCAGAAGTAAACACTAATGATTTGATGATTTTTGAAACTTTCCTGGTTGATCCGCTTTTATTGATCAGTTTATTAGTTTTTCCATTTGGATCACATTTCATTCAGTTTTTTTACGGTACCTTTTGGGTATTTTCCTATTTCATCATTCTTTTAAAGTACATCTTTTTTTGGTTATATAATATTAAACTGTGAAAGCATCCCAAATTGTCAAATATTCTTTTATACATTTTCTAATGACTACATTTTATCTCTAATAGAAAGGTACTATGACTGATTAAACCTTTTGTTGTGGCCATTTTGTTGCTTCCCATTTTTCAGTTATAAATAATGCTATAGTGAACATCTGTGTACCTAGGTCATAATCTGCCTTTTCGTATTTCAAAGGGCTTTTAAAGTAATTTACAAAATTGATAAAAGCTTAGGTTCTTTGAAAAGGATGTCCTGTACTGCCATCAATTTGGTGGTTGAAAAATTGTAGGACAGTAGCTTTTGTTTTGCTAAACTAGTGAAGTTGATATTTGATTATTTACTGTATGTTTACAATTTGGTCATGTTTTTGTTAATTAGCTCTTTGAAATATTTTTGTGACTTGTTCTCTGGCGGATGCTAATATTTTTCCTCATTGCTTTTTACAGCTACTTATGAATGCTAACCTGCTTTTCATATTTTGTCAATAATTTTTAAATTTAGAAGTTGTTTATGGTTTACATATTTGTAATTTTTACATTTGTGTGTTGTCAAATGTACTGCTGTTTTTATTTATGATTTTTCTAGGGTTTCTCTGTCTAGAAAATACTACCTGCTGTGAGAAGAACTAAATGCCTATTTTTTCTTACGTGTTTTTAATGATCTTTGAAAAGTATATTTTAATCTACTTGGAGTTTATTTTGATGGGTTGCCAGTTTCCGTTTTTTCCAAATTTGTCATAATTTTATGCTTTTAAGTACTTAAAGGTAATTGAAGTACTCATTGCTTTAAGGTACTTCTTTTGATCATAACTTGTATACTGGATTTGAGTTACCAGTTTTGCTTCATTAATTGGGATATTTAATCTGGATTCCATTGTTTTTTGGTGAATTTATAGATAGGTTTAAAAAATTCCATGGATTCTTTGCTATATGCAATATTATGCATGTGTGTTTTTTTCCTGGGGAAACAGTTGTAGATTTTATATGCATACTCATATAGCAGTACTACATTATTCTATTTGCTGTAGTGTTGTAGACTAAATATATAGTGAGGCACTAGCCATAACTCCTTTTCACAATTTTCCTAGCTTGTGGAAAACCTTAGTGGTTTTTACAGATGAAATTTAGATTCACTTGCTTATTTATTATTATTTTTTTAAGATTTCTTTATTTAGGGCCTCCCCAGTGGCGCAGTGGTTGAGCGCTGGCCTGCAAAGCTGCCCGCAGCCTCTGCAGCACCGGTTCGATCCCCGGTCGCCGGGCGAGTGTCCCACATGGCGCGCAGACCTCTCCTGCCGCCTGCTGCTCCCCTCAGCAGTGTACTTTGGTCCTTCTGCCTGTTCTGTTCCCCGCTCTGGCTCTGGTGAATTCTCTCACCCTCCCGCACTTCTGACTGTACCCAGTGTTTGTATAAATAAAATTAAAAAGAAAAAAAATTATTTATTTATACAAGCACTGGGTACAGTCACAAGTTCGGGAGGGTGAGAGAATTCACCAGAGCCAGACCAGGGAGTAGAACGGGCGGGCAGACTGAGGAAGTAAACTGCTGAGGGGAGAAGCGGGCACAGCAGGAGAGGTCTGCGCACCAGGTGGGACCCTCGCCAGCGGCCGGGGATTGAACTGGCGCTGCAGAGGCTGCGCCACCGGAGAGGCCCGGTTATGTTTTTTAAAAGCCACCGGGAGGCCCGGTTATGTTTTTTAAAAGCCAGTTATTTGCTTTTTTGTTTCTCTTTATTCATGAACATGGTACATTTCATGTAGAGCCCATGAAAATGTACTGTTTTTTAGAAACTCTGAGAGTATTTGTGATATCTGTGACTTTTCATTGAGGCGTTATTTTACTGCTTTCCTGGTGCTGATAAAATGTTAATAGCTTTGAGTTGGTAGAGGATAATAAGACTACATTTTTATTTTTAATCTGTCTTAGGACATGGTAACATGAAAATAGTGCACTGTTAAAGTTAGAAAAAAATTAGGGTTCCACAATGAAATGTTCTCTGTTGCTTGAAACCAAACTTTTTCTTGGATTAACATAGACCTTTTTATTTAGTGGAGGTAATTTGTAAAATAATCTAATCTTTCAGACCAGAATGGAGCTTAGTAATAACTATATAGTAAAGTTTTTTCCCTGTTTTTTAGGTTCTTTGGTAAATGAAATTACTCTTGCAAGGATATGTCCTTAATTATTAATATAAATTAATTCTTCGTTAAATCTTTTCTTTGTTCTGATTGCAGTGAAAAGTATAATCTTGATTAATAGTGGTGTATTTCAGTTGTAAATATATTTTTAAAATTCCTTTTCATAATAGGTACTGGGAAGAAAGTCAAATTACTACCAAAATATTTTTATTGAGCTTGTTAAATTTGAAAATTGGAGGCATGAAAAAACTGAGGGGAGCAAAAATAGAAATCAAAGG